CGAATAAAACGTGTATGACTTATAAAACATGTCAAAGCGATGGACTCGTACTTGTAGCTCGCGTTTGCATGGAGACCAAAGTGTGGCACGTTAGTAATGCAAAAAGCATCAAAGGGTGACGTTAATAACATGGAATATGGATATTTTTTCTCATAAAATATATATAGCAACTCGTGTCTTCTCCTATGATTTAATATGATTTTACAGTTTGTAAAAAATGCTGTTGCGCAATAAATATAAAACTGTGTTTCGAAAACACAGGAAGAAAACATGATCAACATTTTCATTTTTCTCATGCAATCTCTTAATAATAAACTACTTGAAAAGTAATAATTATAATGGAGCAATCGAAGAAGGTATCTAAATATAATTTACAAGTTTCTATTTATATGTAAAATTTGTCCAAAAAATACACGCATCTTGTAGAAAGCACCGTTAATATCAGTATATTCCAAAGTGCTGTGAAGGCTCCCAAAAGGAAAGTATGTAGAAAGGAGAGAGTGCCAATGTGAGCCACAAAATGAACGGAACTCTGTTCTCACACTATAGAATCACGTTGACTATTGTTGAACCAATCTGTATCACAAGTTGTACTGTATTCTCATCCTGTACTTTCGATGATCTTATTGTAGTTTTTACTGAGGAAGACCCGAAGAAGAGCCGAAACGTTTGTGCTATTAAAGAGAAACTTTGATTCTATATTGTGAGAACCGAGTTCCGTTCATTTTGTGGCTCACATTGGCACTCTCTCCTTTCTACATATTAATATCAGTATTTCACAGTTTAAGGCCACTTTTGGCACCACCGAAAGATAGATATCGCGAAAGACAGAAAAGTATCTCGGGAATGCGCGCGATGTCGCCCGGCTATTTTTCATCGGTTACACGCATGCATATGTAACCGGATTACGTGGACCAAGTTAAAAGTAGCAGAGCACAGCTGTCCGTTAGCAGCAGCCCGCGTTCGTTCCTCTCTTCTTCCTCTAGCGCTTGTCGCGACTTAGGGAAAATCCGACCCTTTAAATTATTGCGCGGACTTTATTTCAACGACGAAGCTGGGAAATAACCCGCGAACTTCTGTGGTTTACGGGAAGAGGAAAAGCGAACTTTTCCGCGTTTCAGCATAGCGGATGATAGATCAGAAGCCGGATTTCTTTCTGTCTCGTGAGGATTATGCAGCTTTAGATGTGGCCAATAGCGAACTCACTTTGTCTTTTTTTTTCCATTACAATTCCTTCGTAATTAATTAAATAACATTTTCCTTTAACGCGCCACTCCAGAAATCGTTTTCAAGAATTAAACACAAGAGTGAGCTCTAGTACAATTTATACGATAATGCGAAGGTACAAATTCCCCTCGGATGTAGGAAGACAAGCACCATCGTAGCCGACGTCTCTCATACCTTCCACTCCACCTTGAAAATCAGAGTCGTTGATCTCCGCGCCGAGTGAATAAATGTGCCGGAAGAGGAGCCTCTTCCGGGCAATAGGTACCTTCAAGCGGTCGTGGCAATAACGTGAATGATGATGAGATATCAAGGGAAAAGCTGTTGTTATTCGCATCTGTCGGCTTCATAACTTTTTTAACGATTTTACACATTTTATAGCGCAAAGTTATCTGTCTTAAAAAAAAATACCATCTACGCAAGGAACACAGATCTGTGCTGTTGTGTCTTTTCCCTGTTGCGTGAAAAAAGAGGACTTGCGGAAAAAAGAGCTGCCAGTGCGTCGACATGCTGCGAGGATGCCGTCCATCTTCTTATTTTAAAACAGAAAGAGGCGGCCGAGTGTACGCGGCCTTTGAGCAGCCTTGGCAATGGAGTGCGTTCGCCAAGAAGCACTTTCCGGCATCGTGAGCACCGTCGTGCACGTCGAGAAAATACACCGGCCTTGGGAATATCGATGAGCGTAAATTAAGAAAGTTTTCCCCTGAGCGCAGTTCAGAACGGCTTCCCGTGCCGGAGATTGTCGCGTTGAAACAATCGCTCACGTATAATCCGTATCGATAAAGAGTCATAAAGGTGTATGACATTCATAATGGAACGCTCGGATTATACGAGTCTGCCGGGGTCGATTAGCTTACCGGGGATTATCCTGCCGATGTCTTCATTTATTTGTCGAAATCTTACGCAAATAATATTTCAATAATGCTATTGGCATTCCTAATAATTAATTACCTTGGTCTGGTAAGGGAGAGATTAATGATACATTGGCACGTAGTTGCCGTGTGCGAATAAACTGCTCTGTTATCGCCTTTTAAGGCGGCTCCTGCATAAACCCACCAAAAGTAGAAAGAATTGAAATTTAAGTACGTTGTAGTTGTAAATGTTATCTATCGGTGCGCGAAATTTCAGACCCGGTCGCCGATGAAATAAAATAAAGAAAATATATTAAAGTTGTATTTTTTAACATTACAGTAAACACCAAATAAATATTTGGGCGTAAACATTTAAATCTGGGTGTTTACGCCCGAATTTGAGAGTAAATTCGGACAATCGGAGTGTTAACACTCAGAAATTGAGTGTTTTTTCCGTAAGGGAAGGTCCGATCGCTCGTGGAAGCACTTTGAGGGTTAATATTATTTTATAGAAAAAGTAGATCTTAACAAACACCGAGATGAACGTAATAAATGTCACAAGGATTCAAGTGTGCTATTAAGTATACGAGGTCACCGACCTCTGCAAGCAAATACTTATTAGTAAAGCCAAAAGATACAATGTTTAGAGGAAATTTGACAGCTCTTTGGGACTTGACGATATCACATATTTTTAAATGCGTTTTTAAATGTGCATGTATAAGCTAGCATATCAATGCATTTGAACAATAATACGATTAAGTGATCAAGTGATATTTTTTTAATGAAAAAAGTCATATGAGTTTATAAAAATCAATGGGGAGCCACCGAAGCATCCATACTAACCGCTCCTTCGTGCAGAAGCCACCTTAATTTTTTTTATACATAGCAGTTTCGATAGTACATTGTACGGCCGAAATTGCTGTACCAAAGGCAATAAATTGCAGCGTGTTTTTACACCGAGTGAAAAAGCAAACTAACGAAAGACAATAAACGGAGATAAACGTCAAGAGTTTACGTCGCAGTGACTGTAATCCTAAAAGCAAAATATACAATACATATAACGGATATATATGAGGCTGGTGTGACATTTTGTGAATTATATCCAAAGTGTTAATGGATTTTCGAATTTGATACGTTGGTGAAAACATGATAAAGGGCCACTGTTTGCGGCAACGTTTTAATCCTTGGAACAAAGCACTTTGTGTTTAAAATTTCGATTATCGAGGTTTATCAATCGCGGAAATTTTTGAAATTTCGGACGTCGAGCGCCGGTTCCGAGAAATGACGTAGCGCCGTAAACACCTCGGTCGAAAACAGTCTATTCTCTTCTTCTCCTTCTTCTTCTTCTTCTTCTTCCTCGTGTATTAGGCTTCAAGCCTGTTTTATCCAGTTCGTTCTGGTACATAACTTACTTTGTACTTTGAGCATTTGGTTTTACTTCATCTTCGGTAGACTGCTAAGACTACCTTAGATTCTGGCAGTTATATTTTATAGTTTTGTAGAATTTTGTAGAATTATTTCCGACAGGGAATTCGGGGGCGTGTAAGAGTCACGCTTCGTTCTCACGGCCAAGGTCCGTGTTATGTGTTCCTTGTATATCCGAAGGTTCTCGCTTTCTCGTTCCAGCCTTCGACCCCTTGGCAGTGAACAGCTAATTCACAAATCCGTTTCCTTTAGCTATACACTGAAGTTCAGAATTTATCCATTCGCTTATGATCATTTCAACTGCCAAAAACTTAAATTGTTTAGTAAAAAACGCTGCTCTGTAGTTGCAAAAAGTTTAGTTTCCTTTTCATTCTCGCAGCCAAGCTTGATCCTTGCGAAAGCTTTATCACGAAATTTCATACGTAACACTTTGACAAATCTAAAATGAGTCTTTTACGAAAAATGAGTTTGAATGAATGAAATGAATATCTCGCGGGTAATTTCTTAATTCCAGAAGATCCATTAATTTTCAATGTGTGTTTACAGTATCTTCGCAGTTAAGTCTTATATTAAATTTTTGCTGATATATTTTTGCTCCTTTATCGAGCGTACCTTGTGGAAAATTAAATTATGTAACCATTGATCTCTCTCTTTCTCTCTCCTCCAGGAACGGAGTAGGAAACTGGACGTGGATAATTGCATTCGCGTGCACGCTTCTGAACGTCCTTGGCAGTGAAATGCAGATCACTGTGAAATACTTTTCACGCTATAAACATTACATGTATGTACATCGAAGCGAATAGACTACGTCGGCCTTCGGTATATCGATTTGTACACGCAAAAAGAAGAGTTTATTGAAACCCTGTCCCTCTCTGCGCCACCGCATTGTCGGATCGCGTCTATACGTCCGGTCGTTGTTCTTCTATCAGCATTCATTATAAGCCGAGCTCCGATATAGCTAAGCGGCGATAGTCCGCTTAGAAATTAATTGGCCAGGCGGCTAAGTTTATTCCCGACTAAATTTGGCCACGGCTAAGTTAGACGTCTCCGATTTATTTATAGCATACGCAAACGTGGGCATGCTCCTGCTCATGTTTTTATCGACGCGAAACGGCGAATATCGTATGGGTAACGATGAAATTTTAACGAGACGGTTATGGCTGTTCCCGACGTACATCTTGAAATATAAAGAGCGCTTACCAGCTTATCCTTAAGCGTCCTTTACAATGAGAAACTATGAAATATTTTGCGATACCACGTTCTTAATATCAAAACATCGAACGTTGAATCATATTGGTCGAACCACCAAGATAGATTTTATTTCGATTGTCACATTGATGCAACAGCAAATCGCTTTTTTGCTTTGTACAATCATTATGCCTGAAATTCCATAATGTCTGCGAGAATTATGTTCTATTTAATTTATGTTTTTTTTATATAATAGCAAACGTGTATTAACGGACCTTGGAGCGAACTGAGAACTCGAATGGGCTGTTTCAGAGGACCTTCGGCGCTGAGATTCCACCTCAGGATGGCTGGAGCGAACCGGGAGGTTCGGCAAGGACCTGAAAATTTCGTGCTCGCAAATCGTCGTGTTGGGCGAAGCCGGTCTTCGTGCGATTAGGGGCTGTGCCAGGGTAGCACGGGACGGGGGTGGTTCTCTCCATCGCGGGGATCGAGATGAGCGATCTACAGGCCACCCTCGAGTTCTCCCTCGAGCTCTGCAAGTTCTACAATGTCGATCTCTTCCAGCGCGGGTGAGATTATCGCTCGCATCTCCCGGCACACGTGACGTCGCATGTCGCGTCTCCGTAAAATATCGCGGCTGCTTGCCAACACTGGTTCGTCCGTCCGTCAGGAGAACTCTGTGCTTTTTTTTGCAGATATTACCAGATCCGAACTGCTCTTAGAGTATCGCCCAAGTTGCCAGTCAAAGTGGAGGTCAATCAACTGCGAAATCGTAAGCATTTCAATAATAAAAAGTCGAAACTAGTTTCTGTGATACAGGCATTTTATTTTGCATGCTACATTAAATTTACATGTACAGTCACTACATTTTATGTCTTACAAGATTCTTCTTCTCCCTTTCTCCCCGCCCCCCCCCCCACTTGAACAATTATTCAAGATTAATATGACATATACCTCAGAATATAGTATTGCCGAATTTCTCATAAAGAGTATCTTCCATGTATTTTAAAACATTTCTCTCTATCTCTCTTCCTTTGTGTCTCGATATTTTCATTTCTTACGTGGTCATCGCGTGTGAGTCTCGCGATCATTTCTCGGACTGCCCGAAGTTCTCAGTCATATCACGCGAACGTACTTGCTGAATCCGTTCACCCCCCGATCGATCGATCTATCCCCGAGGCGAGCGACGGTCGAATTCGATGGAGAGGCACGCACCGTTGTGTTGCAGACTCCCTGGAGGCCCCGGGCACGAGTAAGCGCTTTCAGATCCTCTACAGGAACGAGGAGGTGACACTCGGCACTTCCGTACTATTCCGGGCGCATGTGCTCGTGCATAGTCACAAGATTGAGGAGGCCCTGTCGCGCACCCACTTTAATCTAGGCGTCGAGCTATGGTTCAGCGAGCCGACGCAACCGGGCAACATGGCTTGCGTGTCCTCGAGGTAAGCGTCTTGCCGTCTCTAACACAAACGCCGACGTATCCCTTTCCCAGTGACAGCGGAGACACGCAAGGGTTGGATTGCGAGCGCAACCTGAGCAATCAGCCGGCCGCGCAATTCTTATCTCTTGTTCGCGGCCTTTCTCGAACACGATATAAGAACTCGCGGGAGAATAAATTAGTGACAAGAGGGCGGATAAGTCGGAAATTAAGAAAAATAAAATGGGTCGCGCCACTCACTTGCTTGCAGTTATTTTATAATATTAGCATTGGATTGTTATATGCGATGAGATGTTATCAAAGTACGGAAAGAATTTTTGCGCAATACGAGAGACATAAAGGTCTCTTTCTCGTTGATTCGCTTGTACATTGTGGCGTGCCCAAGTTTTCTTCGGGGGGGATATTGGATCAAATTAACGTGGATTTTTCGTAACGACGTTGAAAAGAATCCCGAGCGTTTTCTGACGCGGGTCTTAAAGAGCTCGAAAAGACGTAATCTGCCGGACGTATCTTAAACAGATCTATCAGACATCTGTTGGATATTTGTTCGCAAACTGTTGGAAATTGGGCCGAGCTGATCGATGATAGTTTCGACTGGGAGCTGCTACATCGAGTCACCCGTGATCGATAGGACGTTCTTTTTCAGGGCGCTGCAGCTGAACTTCACACCCACGAAGGGCCTTCACTATCATCTGCCGGTGCTCTTCGATTACTTCCATCTCGCCGCGGTGTCCATTACGATCCACGCCTGCCTCGTGGCACTTCATCAGCCCTACATCAAGTCAGTATCGCTCGCTCGCCACTCGCATTTCGTGACTTTCCAAATGCCACTCGGTACATAATCAACGTTATCCCTCACGAGGGCCTCTTTTTCTGTTTTATGGCCGCATGCTTTCACCCCCGGTGAATGCAGGAAGAGCATACTGCACGTAGTGCAGAGTTGGTGAGTACTTGACACTTTCGGAGGATAAGCTCCGAGCGGGCTCGACTTCCCGCGCGAGTACTCT